TTGCTGGCTGTAGCAGCGCTATAGCGCTGCTATAGCGCTGCACAGCAAAAACGCATAAAAACGAAAGTAAAAAAGTTGAACTTATGCGAATGGAAATCATATTAAAAAAAAACCTGTTTTTGACACGAGGCTTCTTTATTTATGAAGCTGGTGCGTGATTAAATTTAAAAGCGAACAGGATTGATTGAATTTACACAAAATTTTCACGCAGTTCCTCTATGTTGCCTTCGGTAGAAAGTGACTGTAAACAACACTTACACTTCTGTTTTTTTGCCTCCAAAATTTAATAGAAGCAAAGGACTCGATCCTGTCCATCAACTCTAACCCTCCTTTTGCTCATTTCATATTCTACGGTGAAACTTGTTCGCTGTCAGCTTCTCCTAAGCATCAGCTTCATACATAGGGAAGTTTCCTAATGACAACAGCTTCTTATTAAAACAATTTTCGCTCGCACAGTCTCAGTTTTTACTGTTTTTACTTTTTTCCACAGCACCTCCCTTGCCCCTACCACATACGAACTCCTGTCGCTCGCCGTGCGATAACCATACTCGATACCGTCAGAAAAATTTTTCCGCAATTCGTGTATGACGTCAATCGAACCATTTTGGTAATTGCTTCAGTTACTGCAACTCGCATCGCACAGCCTGGCCAAGCGCAACTGTGCCGGATTTTAGTAGTTGCCCATTATTGATGGAATTGAATTGGAACTTTAACTTCGAAATGAATAGTGCGATCGAGGCAGAGAAGAGGAACGGGGGGATGGAGAAAGGGCGGGGAGAATAGGCGGGAGGAATCCCTATCCCAGCACAGTCACCTTATTGGGCGGATATCGACGAAGTATACTAACAAAATTTGTGTAGTAAATAACATTTAGATGAACAAACTTCGATATCCGAAAGCTTTTCCACGAAACTCCTCAAGTATTGTTATCCTGAGCAAAAGAATTAGTCCTCTTTCATTCCATGGCACTGAAATTAAAAAGTTTGTCACTTGATGTCGGACGCTCTAGAAGCTTTCTCTGGCCATGAAATTTTGGTTTCTTACAATCAAACAATTAAGAATTATTGGTAATATTGTCTTTTTTATCAGAAAAAACAACTTTTATCAAGAAATTTGAGGAAGAAATGAAAAAATGGAATTACTGTGAGGCCATTTTTTATGGAGAAGCTGAAAAAAGTGTGAATTTTACATTTGATCGAAAAAAAGATATCGATGAACTTAGAACTATCTCTTTGTGGTACCGGATCGAATGGCTGCTGCTCCCATAGTTCTAATGATACGTGCTCTTTCATCGACAGTGCGCCTCAATTTGGCAACCACTTCCTCAAGGGGTTCTAACTTGCGCCTTCTCGACATTACATCTCCGTCATCGTCATTCAGAATATTTCTCATATAGCTCGCAATCGTCCTAATTGCCTCTATTTTATCTGGCTGCGCATCGGTCGCCAAACCAATGTCTCCATTCATTTTCTGGAAGGTTTTTTGAAGATGGTAAGTAAAATTTATGGTGATGGTTGCTACAGCATATGAAAGACAACATAACTTGCTGTCTCAGTGACGACGCTGACAAAAAGAAAACACCTGCATAGTGGAGAGCTTCATGGAAATCAAGAACCCTACCGTATTTGCCACCTTTGAACGGGGTGACACAGTGGTAACGACTGTTAACACCAATCAATCGCTGGCAAGGCTATCGAGACGTCCCTCCCTTTTGAGTTACCTAAATTCAGAATGATGACAAGTTTGACTTCCTGAGATGCATCGGCAACAGTTGATGACCAAAACAAATGTGCAAATTGTAGGGGATCTTTTTTTCCGCACTGATGTCAAACCTTCAACGTTCCACACGAAAGCAGCGCCAAAGTCCACCGCAATAGGCAATACAGTGGTAACAAAGGCTGGAACGCACCAGGCGAGCCGGTGCGATCATGCGTTTTTGCATCAAAACT